TAGAAGCGAAACACAACGAGACGCTTCGCGCCGCCAGCTCTGTTGGAGCAAAAAGATCGAATTCGCAAGAATGCGGGCTGGATCATCATGAACACGAAACAAGGAGAGCGTTAGCCGGGTGGTTCGACTGGCACAGTTACCACGCGCACTATACTATGACTTGCTAGCCTCTGGCCGTTTGTCACGAAATTCGATATTACCTGAACAAGCACATGGAAAGGGGGGCAAGTTTGGAAAGGGTTGTGCATGGGGTAAGATCATGAGCGCACATGTGAGCTCAGCGGAGTTTTACCCGCGGAGAGCGGGACATGCACAGGAGTCATGGGCAGAACTTTTTACTGTGACGCCCAGACGCCAGAGAAAATAGGCAAATGTGAGGCAAGGGTCAACAAATAAAGTGAAGAAGAAACAACCGCCTCTGATGAGCATCTTCACAGGGAGATGTACTTTCTACACAAGTTCATCACACGATTCAACGAAAGCGCATGGAGGTCAAATAATCCTACGAGAGGCAAAGTTCCCTGTGAGCTGAGCATCTAGCGAAAGCGAAGTTTTGCCTATTATTGTCGGCCGTTCAAATGTAAGTTACTCCAAAAACTACAACTCTGTCAGAGTCGTTCTATAGAGCGATTGTGATCAAATCTTTTCAATGGAATGATCTTACGCTAAGGTAGTGGCTGGGCTAAAATCGAAATCTCAAACCGTTCCAAAAACGGCCTAGAATTTGGAAACTAAGTGGTTAGGGGCAGCCCGATGAAGGGTGTTCAAATGATCGTAGTGGACGTGTAACGTGTCTGTCTGTCATGAAGTTGTTCACTAACTAAAGAAGCATCTGAAGAGATGGGAACAAGTTGTAATTGTAGGGTTTAAGCTCAGGGAGAAAAAGGGGAGAAACATGCACCAGAAAATCGGTGCGATGGTTCAAAATTTTGTTCCAGAGAAGCCATGACTCCAGGAAAAAGGTGGGTAAAGGTAGGAATAGGTCAACGTAGCAGACGAATGAGACTCATTCGCACTTGGCGGTTCTAAGTGAACTCATAATCTGTCAGCGGCTTTAACAGATTACTTTGTTGGATGCATTCAGCTTGCGGAGCCCAATGTTAATATGATACAAATTCAATCGCACGCTTAGCCTTTCGGCCTCCTCGCGTTCCCAGAGTTTGCGAGCTAGATATTTTTTTAGATTTATTAACATGCGCAAGCACATGTCATTAAAATTTCCAAAAGAACAATACGACCATAATTGAAAAATCAAGCAAGCTCTCAAAATATCAGAACAACTCCAACCTGATAAATGAGAAATATAGAATATACTGTGAACAAAGGCAAGGAAAGTGAAAGAGCACAAGCAAAAAGTACAATGGATCAATAATAAAGGTTTCCTCACGTGATATAATTGTTAACAATTCTTTTGAAGCCCGAAAATCAACACGGAATCTGCAACTTTTTACTCAACCCAGTGTATTCATAACCTGCCCTGAATGTGAAGAAGTTGCGCCGCAAAACGGACTTAGGTTGCTGAAGCACAATTTTGAGACTTTGACCTCTAGTGGAAGAAGGGTACAGACGAAAAAAATCACGCAATTCCAGATCAACTAGACCATGAAGTATTTTATAAACCATATGAAGATCATTTCGCCTCCTTCTAACATTTAACGATTCAAGCTTCAGTATCTTATTCCGAATTGGGCCACGAGGGATACTACTATAAGTGAAACCGAGAAAACGAATGAATACCTTTCTTGTAAAACTATGTTGCACTCGTTCTAACCTATTTACTAGCGTTTTGCTGCATGGGGAAAAAACACATGTACCGTATTCAAGCATAGGTCTCACGTAAAGTTTGTATGCTTCAATAAGAGGAAAGGGATCAATAGAACAAAAAGACTTGAACAAGTGAAAAAGCCTAACCTCGGCATTGTTGACGATACAATGACAATGCTCTTTGAATGAAAGATTTCTATCAATTGTGAAACCTAAATCACGAACAGTGTCGGCTTCAACAAGTGGCTCACCGCGCATAGAGTACGACAAGTGCGGGTTGTTACGACCAAGATGCAGAATCCTAGATTTAGCAGCCGAAAGAGGAAGCTTCCAACAAGAAGACCACCGAAGTATGGCATCAATGGATGCCTGCAGGGAAGAGCCCGGCTCGCCAAAAATCTTAACACCATCCGCAAACATTTTACATTTGATTCTATCACCAACAACAACTCTAGGTAAATCATACACATAAATACTGAACAAAAGAGGAGAAAGAACACCTCCTTGAGGTACTCCAGAACATGCACACCTAACGGAGGACGACCCTCCGTCAACGATGACCTGGAACGTCCGCTGAGATAAGAAAGCTCTGATCCAAGTAATGATCCTATGATGAATACCAACTTGCTCTAATTTGAGGAGCAACAAATCATGAGGAACTTTGTCAAATGCTTTTTGGAAGTCCAGATAAATAACATCTATGCTGCGTTTGAGATCCATAGCGAAAGTCCATTCATTAAGAGATTCCAACATTTGAGTTTCAGTGGATTTACCTTTTCTAAAGCCGTGCTGACAGCAAGGCAAGATATCATGTTCCTTTAGATGAAGTTCAATTTTCTTTTTAATAATTTTTTTCGAAGATCCGGCAGAAAGAGATGTTATGCTAATAGGCCNTGAATAGAAAAGTTTCATACATTTCATTTACCGAGAGACAACAACTAAAAACACCTAACCAATCAACACTATCCAAATACGCAGTCATCCCAGCAACGTTCACATTCCTAAAGTCACGAGAGTAAGCAAATTTATGGCTGCTTCGTGGACCATCCAAAACAAAGTGAATAGAAGCATGATCACTGGAGCCTAGAGGTGGAGCAACGGTAACTTTTTCAATAATCCCTTCCTCATTACAAAACAATAAATCAAGTGCATGATTACCTCTAGTAGACAGATTAACATATTGTTAAAAGCCATGATTACTGAGCATTTGCAAGAAATCATTGGCCAACGATGAAGACGAAGATACAGCACCATGCCAGTTTATGTCCGGGTAGTTAAAATCACCCATTAGGAGGCATGGATTATTACTAGATGAAAGAGCAAATTAAGCTCAGCGGAGCATTTGGGTGTTCTATAAACCAAAATTAATCAATAACGGTAACCACGCGACGAAACATCACATGAAACTATCTCATACCCATCAGATACGGATTCAGCATAAACAGTAACGGGAAATAAGGACCTCTTCAGTAGAAGGATAACACCGCCTCCCTTTTTCCTTGGCCTGTCGCACCTAATCTCATCATAAAACGAAAAAATATCGCCTAACAAGGACTGCAAATTGTGCTTCCTTTTCAACCAAGTTTCAGTCAACGCAACCACATCACATTTTTGGCGCGACATCTCAAAACTCAAAGAAAGAACATTTTTTGGTAAAGACCTAATATTTGCCAAGATGCAGCATAGTTTATTATTAACGACACACCGAGGAACCCTTAATTGTTTAACGAAGTATGATTACCATCTGAAGCAATATCATTACTCGGAATTACAACATCTTCGGATGGCGAGGATACATTGACGGAATGATCATCAATAGGAGCAGCAGACGATTTTTGAACAACTGAAGGATTGGGATTTACATCATTAAGCCTAGTAGCTCTTAAGGCCCGTAACCGATCACGTTCAGCCTTAGTCAACGACGGCCTAATATAAATACCTTTAATAGAAAAGTGTTTCAACATGGCTGCACGAGAAAGCAGTTGCCTCTGAAAAGAAGAGGTGGGAAGAACCACTTTAAGTAAACGCGGCCGAGTATGATTAAGCTTACCCATGCGAAAGAATGAGATAGGTATACATTCAATTGAGAGAAACAATAAAATTTTCTTAATAACATCAGCATCAGAGGATAAACGAACAGCAGTACTAGGATCAGCATTTTCAGCAACACCAGAAATAACAACTGACCTAATTCTTTCATATTCCTCACAGCAATTCAAACGATTATCAGAAAAAGCACCATTAGAGGAAACAGGAGGGGCAGACCGGTTTTCCTTTTCCAGGGCCTTCTTCAACAATTCAATCTCTTTTTTGAGACGTTCATTTTCAGCTTTTTCACTCCGGAGTTGATCCTCCAAATCTTGATTGCGTTGAAGCAGATCCTCTGTAACAGCACTCTTCTCCAGAAGATGAGCCAAAATAACTTTAACATGAGGAGGGAGGGTGCCGTCTGATGAAAGGCTATTGATCGCCGCAGATAGTGATCCTGACGAGTCGGCCGGAGAACCGCAAAGTTGCTTCCTTTTATGGGGGCGGTCCTGAATATTAGAGGCCAAGGGAGTGAAAGAACTGTTTACACTCATCATACGCACAACCTAGTAAGGTGGCAAAAAGAGTTCTTAACCAAAATGATTTCCCTGCCACAAGGAAATGAGCAAACTGTAGGTCAAATAGTGCACCACGACAAATCGAAACGATCTCCAATAATCGAGAAAACAAAAATCCTTAACGAAATGACCTGAGCAGGTGGCTTAACGGCAGTTCTTGACCTTACCCCAGCCACAAGGGTGCTCGCAGTATTCCGGAGTAGGATGTAGAAGACAGAAATAGAAAAAAAAAAGAATACTAGAATCACTCCTCAGCAAGACAGAAAATAGACGGGAGCAGAGCTGCCGAGCACCGACCGCGCGCGGGAACGACACACGCACCTGTTTTTCATATACCTGTTTTTCAGCCAAATTTTTTTCGCAACAATAGTCAATAATCGTGCCATAACATCCTGTTTAAATACAAACCTCTCTGGACCTCGTCCCCAGTTTTTCACCTGATCAATCGATTTGTCATGTGTGGTAATACTTCGAGTGCCCGCCAGATTACTGGACACCATTCGCGCTAGTGTAATATTTGCAGAAATGGAATCGCGATTGTGAGCGAAAGAGAATTCCCTTCTTTTTCATACGCGGAGTTAGGAGATTGCTCTAATTTTTCCTCATCCTTCACTTTTGCGCCACCAAGTCATGACCTTCAGACACGCTGCGTTTTCAATTTCAAGGTTGCCCGAAAAACCTAAAATTTCGTTTCAAATTGCGCAAAAAAATACTTTCCATTCCATTTTTGTTTGGTCAGTTTTTTTTTTTGTCGGTTCAGTTTTGGTCTCCCTGTTCTCTAATTCTCATTCTTTAAGCTTCTATTTTTACAATTTTTTTTTTCAGTTTTTGCAATGTTGGCTAGAAGAATGCAACGGGATAATTCTAAGAAAAGAGAAACGCGCTCTGCCCAAACGGCTCAGTGAATTAATCACTCGTAAGTTGAAACTGCATGCGGTTCAGTAGTCCCTATAAATTTCCTCCTTACCCGTATGCATGCCAAACCAATTTCCAGTTACTTTTTTCTCTCAGGGACTACGCCTGCTGAACAGACCCGAATCATTCTTCCAGAGGGTGTTTTTGAAAGAAGTGATCTTCTACACTGCAATATGTTTATTGAGGGGCTTCCGCCAAGCGTGTTTTTTGGAAGCGGATTCGGACATAGGTATCAAGTTTTTTATTGCTTCAGCTCTCCCATGTTTCCAAATTTTATTTTTAGGTCTAGCCTAGCAAGAGCAGCTGCAGCGAAAGATCTTGTAGATAAGTGTTTCCAAGTCGGGTTGATATCTGAAGCGCTGCATACCTCCATCGGAAACCATCCGCACTTCGAAAAGGTTTTTGTTATATTCAATCCATTAGTGAGATGCACTTTGAGTAGTTCCGAAGCTTCCGTGATATATCCAAAAACAACTGAAGACGAAAATGTGGTACTCAGCCCAGTGATAAGGATAAGTACTTTTTAAGGGAGTTTTGAGTCTTTCAGGGAATTTTTTCAGAGCGATCTTCCAAGAAGGGCGTATGACTTGGCAGTGGACGCTTTTGTTGATCTAGATGCTAAAATATCTTCAGGTGAGGCAAACATGTATGAGCCAAATAACTGATTTGCTTCTCGAATAATTTCGATTCGTTGAGAGTGATCTTCAATACTTTTTAACGCTTTTTTACATTCTTTTTCCAATTTAATGTTCGATGTTCTCGAATTTGCAATGATGGCAGGGTCGTTGGCGGTATAGGTGTCCTTGGCGATGAACATTGTTTCAATTTTTTTTGACTAAAGAACGTGGTTCGATCTTCAACTTTCAATTGCGAGTACAAAACATGTTTCGACTTAATCTCTGACAAACATAGTCGCCTACTCGTCAACATCAAAATATGGCAAAGAGGAGCTGGCGACGTTTTGTATAGACTTGGAAAAGGTGTACAGGGGAGAAATTCAGAAGTCCAACGTCAAAATCGAATCAATTCAACGTCAGCATTGGCTTAGAAAAAAAAATAGAAACCTTCATATCGGGATTCAAGGAATGGAACAGAATGAGCTGGCTTGAAAGACTGCGAGTTTGTCATTCATGCAAACATCATTCATAGAATTTCGCAGTCTAAATATCTTTTCTTCTGCGTTAAACTTGGGCTCACTTGGTGGGCATGTCCACATAATGAAAAATATCACATTTTCAATCGGACTTTTTGCTTGACTGACGGGCTACTGTGCCGAAATTTTGCACGGGATATTGCTTGGTTGGGTCCAAGTCTCAGAAACGTAACCCAAGTCAGAAATAAGTGCGGTGTCAAAAAATGCTCGGACATTCTTTGTTTTCTGTTGACCTGTTTGACGGAACTCTCAGTTCTGGGAACTTCCAGCATTGCCTTCTCCACAGCACATTGATGACGCTAACTGACTCTGCAGTCCATGTTACTGGGGCATGAGCGATGGCAGCAAGGCCGCAATGCACCAGAACGACGTTCTATGTTTACTTCTTTTCTCCCTCCATGCTTCAAAATTCTTTCATGATCAGTATCTTATCCATACGTACTAGTGCTGTTCTCACTTTTTGTCGTCAGTTTTACAGTTTCTCTTAATATTAAAGGCTTAAGAGGCCTATTAGCGTTTTTGTTCTAATTCACTCAATCAAAATTTGTCGATTGCTATGAATTCTCCGAATCCAATTCTGCAATGCAGGTCACTCTCTACATCGTTCACTGAAAAGCAGCCTCCACTACAAAAACAGGATGTGGTCTAATGGCTTTTGCATTTTACCTCCTCAGTTTTCAGTTGGGTGGAGGTGGTGTAGTGGTAAGCGGATCGATATCCGCCTAGGCCAGCCAGGTCTTGTCTTTCATTCCTCTCTGGCCAGGTTATTGTACCATAATCAACCGAAAGGCTCCGGATCGGCTGGCTACTGCAAGTTATTGTATGGGCCACGTACGCATTCAATACGTCGCACGATTTTGAGTGGGTGTCCAATGCAAAAAATGTCTTCAAAAAAAGTGGGTGGTTAATGCCATAAGGTTTTTCTTCTCTCTGTAGATAAGTCTTTTTGATAAATGTGAGGGTGACAGTTTCTGCTATCCGTTTCATTAAGATCGTTCCATAATACTCCTTAGCTCTTACTTTCAAACTTGTCTGCTCACCTAATTGTTTACTACATACATATGTCGTTACACCCTTTTCAAGAGTTGCTTATTTTCAATTTGATGTTTTAGGAAGATGGCCTTGGGATCTCAATACAGCAAAAGAATTAGAACCCGAAACCCTTGACAGATTGAAGGCGGTTTTCAATTCGGTACTTTTTGTTGTACTTTGATGTTCCATCCTTGTTACTTTTCTATGTTTCTGGTCAATGTTGAAGGTAGTGCAAGACATCTATTTCCCGAGAGTACATGATCGCCCTCGAGATGAATTCATGCACCCTCCGGTGAGTGACTCAATGACTCGGTTGATATGTCATTACTAATGAAAACGACGCTGCTCGTTTAAGTGTTCATTCATTTGTGCCCCTTTAACAATTTTATTTTGCATAGCTTAAGTAGGCGATCTGCAATGGTTGTAGTAACTTTAGATGCCACCCAATGGAAGCGCGGCAGCCAACTTTGCCGTCAATCATCACGAGAGGTCGGAATTCTGTGGCCGTTGTAGGCTGTATGGTCATTCCGAGAGGTACTGCAACGAAAGTAGAGGACATGGTCGAGATTGGGATGAGGCTACATCTCCAGGACTAATGCCAGGCTTGAGGGCAACGCATTATGAGGAACAAAGATTCCCCAAATCAGAATATGATCGTCGCCCTACTGCAGACAAAGATGCATTTCATTACACTTCTGATGAGATGGAACAGAAAATAGCCCGGCAGCGGGAGGAGCTGCTTCACCAAGAAATGGCGCTACGACGGGCAGGAGCAGCAGATAACTGGTCCACTGGTAGTGCTGCTTTTCAACCATCTCTTGCACAAACACAACCTTCAATGGCGTTGAAGCCTCTTATGCCGCCACTTGGTGATCGATTAAATCACGGTCCGATTGAGCCTTTCATAAATAACATACCGTCATCTACAGATAGGTTGCGGTTAGAACAGCATTTCCGAGCTTCCCATGAGGAGGAGCTGCGAGCGAAGCTAGAGGCCAAAGCGCAAAAATTGGAAGAGGAAAAACGGCTGAGACAGATCGAAGAAGAGTTAGAGCGTAGAATGCAAAGGGAGTTGGAAGAAAAGAAGAGAATAATGGAAGATGAAATTCGTAAGCAAGTCCAATTTGAAGAACGAGCTAGACTGCAAGTGGAGCTTGCGCGAACACAGATCGAAGCTCCTCCGCCACACGCGCATACATTTTCTGCATTTCCGGCGTTGAGCCAGTTCAATTCTTCATATGTGCCGGCATCGTTTTCTTCCTCCTTAGCGCCCTCGTCAGTTTTGCCTGACAGTGATGGAGTTAAATGTGCAGCCTATACCTCAGCACCGGATTTCGAAATGGAAGAAATTAAACATCTCATTAGGGAAATAGAGGACAAACTAGCTGAACTACAACGCAACTGCCGTGAAGCTGAATTATCATCTATATTCCAGTCTCGAGCCTTTCGAATGATAGGGGAACTCGGCAACAATGCCCACTTGTTGGATCGTAATCAGAAGCAGATGCTCTTATGTGAATTGAAGGAACTACTAAGTCAAGCTGGATCAGATGCAGCTGACCACAAAAGAAGAGAAAGAGGTCGTGGCAGAAGCAGAGATCGGGCGGCAGGACAAAGGGATAGCCGGGACCGCCGCCGCTCCTCTCATCGGTCGCGATCGAGATCGTCCAGAACTCGTGATACTTACAAGCATAGAAGGGGCGAAAGTTCTCCCGAAGAAATCAAAGTCCAAGTTGGCGACATCACGTTGCGAAAACTATCGTTGACTGAACAGCGCCGTTTGAAAGTAGGAGAGGTAGTTGTCTCCCAGGACATGAAGACAGGAAAATGGATCACTTCTCGTCTTGCTAAGGTGTCGGGAAACAGAGCCACTTTATGTGTTGGCAATACAACATGGAAAAGAAATCTCGATGAACTGTTCAAGGAAGTTCGTGAGAAGTCGTATTGAATTAACTCCGACATTGTCGACACATCTTTGGTTTCTCATCTCTCTGGAAATTTCAACTCTTGACTAACCTATTGCTCTGATGTCAGGATCAGAACTATCAGAATCACTCTTCCTTATACGTAATCAGTGTTGCTCTTCCTTATAAGTAATCAGTGTTACTATTGAATTCGTTGTTGACTGAACTTTGTTTCGTAGTGTATTTCCTTTTCAATGCTTTATTCTTGCATTCTCTTACTCTTTCTGTTCTTCCGTTTTTTGTTGTATCTCTGCTGTGAAACAAGCTGTTTCCTTCGGTGAACCATGTGAGAAGACTGCACAGGAGTGTTCGACTTATGGTGTTCCTCAAGAACTGCTTGTTCGTTACGCTCATTGATTTTAGAGGTGAGTCCAGTATTTTTTGTTCTGATGAAAGATTTTGTTGACAAGGTCTATCAGCGACATGAAATCGCAAATTTCTCGTAGAGGACAAAGCAGGCAGTAATGTAGTTGTCCTCGTGCAGAAGCCATTTCAGTTCAGCACGAAGTGTTGTGACCTTTCCGGAAATCTATTTGTGAGCTTTATGGAATTTTGTTGGGGAGCCGAAGGAATGAGAAAGGATCTTCGAAGCAACAAAGTTGATTCAAGGACGATTGCTGATTTACCAGTTCGTCGTCGTTGTAGAAGAAGTGTAAAGTAATTGTGGATTGAATTTATGGCTCCTAGATTGCAAGATCGACAATGTTAAGCCTCATATCGATTCTACGATTTGCGTGTAATCTTGTCATAATTAACGGGAAGGAGTCTCGAGCCACAGTTCAAGAACTCGGAAATCAGTTGAAGAAGAATTATTCTCGTAGAGCCACAGAGGAATCTTTAACCTTATTACTGGACTTCGCAAAGCCTGTGGATGGAGGAAGATTTCGAGTAGTGAAGCAGCTTCTTTCTCAGCTTCAAATGACGAGTACAATAGGACGAGCGGAAAGTGGTGACTGCTTACGGTAGAAACATTATCGCGACAATTCTATCCATCGAGCCTTCCACTCAGTAATGACTGCCATCTGGTCAGCTACTGTACATGTGATGTGGAGGAGGATACACTGAGTCCAAGAGCTAACGGATGTTGAGCAAATTATGTGTGAACCGGAGTGTTGTGAAATGCTAGACGTGAAGCGAAACTACTTTGGTGAAAGTTCCATCGGGAAGTGTTCAACGAGTTCAACAACATCACAACATAGTGTGTGATTTTTGTAACGCCATAAAGAAAGGCCGTTGCACCATTACCGTTAACTGTTCAAGAAGATACAGCTGCTTAGGTTTGATGTTCTCGACCTGGTATGAAAGCTGTGCACGCGGAAGTCGTCAATATGTTTACTATTGCGCTTACCTACTTGTTTTACTTACAACCATTCGCATTTTGTGGATATCAGCAGTTTCTCCCTATGATTGTATTCTGAAGCAAAAAATCTACGTATATGGAATACTGTCCTGGAACAGATCCGGGAGCTGACTTTTTCATTCAGTAGGGAGCTCCATTGTGGTGGGTAAAAATTGTACTGGCATAATTACTCTTCCAACTAGGATGTTACAGCAGTATCCATGCAGACGACGCTACAGGAGTCTGATTCTCAGCTTTCAGCCTTTTAGCTTTCAACCCGATTTTTCGTGTACGTCTTTTGATGAAGTCACGATGGGTTTCATCTCTGTATAGCGAGATTAATGAAGTACTCCGAGCCGACAGTCCGTATTCCTACAAGCATAATATTAATAACTTGGCCAAATTTTGGTTTTTCGATGCCAGGGAACAGATTTCTTGGGCTTGGCTTCTGTATAGTATTGCTAAGAGGCTGCAAACATACTTGAAGGACTTGGAGTGGTCTCCCTTTCTCGACTTTCGACTCACCTTACCTGATCTAAGACCAGCGTCAGAGATGTGAAGTTTTATTTTCCTAGCCACTGCGACCTAGTATTTTTCACTCGTCGGGCGTATGAGTTGGACTCTAGTAAACTTATTTTCACAGTGATACAAAGACTCATACTAATCTGCTTTTTCACGCCTGATTAACGATGCATTTTGTTTGCCGTGTGATTACTAACCACTATACTTTACAAGATGTCCCAAAATTATGGCGCCGAAATTCAAAAACTTCTCCGAAACTATTTATTACTCATACCATTTTATTGGCTGAATCAGTTGTACGGGCAAGTTTTCTTGCGATTATCAGTCGCCCTAAATGAGGTTCCTGTTATATTTGCCATGGTGAAGGTTCATTGAATAAGACTTGCAGAAATTCGTGCGCACGAGGCGGAACGGCATAGCATAATTTCTCGAGATTCCCTGAAGGAGACAGCAGAAACATATAAAACATCAAAGAGGAGCAGGACAGAGACGTAACTGGAGTTGTTGTAATGTCCAGTGTTTTCAAAGAGAGTTGATTGTGGTCCACCAGAAGTATTGCAATGAAGCTGGACGTGCCGATCGTCAATGGGGCGGGTTGTGGGAGAACCCTTAATGCCGTTCTCTTCGTATTCAAGAAGCTACTTCATTTCCGATGCCAGTGTGCATCATAGCATCATGGAGCTCAGGAGGTTGCTGACCTAAGTCAGCACAGTTTTCTCTGACGAGAAAACTTTCACGGCCGAGTCAATTCCAAACAAAATAACGGCCTGCGTTCTAGCTAGAAACTCGAAGAGAAAAGAAACGTGTATATGAAGAACATAGCGATGAACAAAGTTAATTTTGACCCTGCCCATAACTGCTATCCTTGCATTTAACGTGCGTGGTGTTCGTTAACAACTTCGTGTATGTTTCCGTGTTCATGGACGGAGGACGTGTTGGAATTCAAATAGGGCTTCTTGTTGGGCATTATGTAAGCAAACGTGTACGTAGTTTCTGAGTTTCATTCCCAGCTAAGGAGCTTTATAAACATGCGACTAATAAGCACCCATAATTTTAAGATACCCTGCATACACTTACTGCATACATATATTTATGTACAGGGTGGGCCAAAATTATGATTACACAGAAATTACATCGCAGAAAACGAACGGAATGCTCATAGAGCAAACCAATTTCATTAAAGGCTTTACCACAAATTTCTTATCAAAACTGTACATTGAGACTGGAATCTGTTGCTTTCTGCTTTCACCCAACCCCAAAGACGACTATGGACGGCATTGACGGTGGCACGCAGCTAGGGTCATCGAAATGGTCCCGGCTTTTTGCTAAGCATTTTCGAGATTATTTCTTCTCTTGTTTGGGCTAAAGGATGCTTTCATCTCAGAGGCTGACCACATTGAGACATTCATGGGATTTAGGTCAGGGCTCCAGAGTGGTCACTGATCGAAGGTTATGAAGTCAAAGAACCCCTTCCACGAAATTTCTAGACAATTTCTGTTCTGCGGTCAGGAGCTTCATCGTGACAATATGACCGGTTCGAATCACCAAAGTGTCCTATTGCGCACGAAGAGAACAAACAGGCCTCCAAACCAACTTCCACTCCATAATTTACAAGAATAATCGGTGTCTTTGCCCCGGCGATGATGCTGGTACAGGCCATCACAGAAAGTTAGTGAGCCAGGCGCTGTATCACTTTCATTTCTTTAAGCTTCATATAAATGTTATCGCTCTACTTATTGAGCACCTATTTCACTGTGAATCTTTTCTCGTCGGTGAACAGGAATTCCGTAGGACAATTTTTTCGGATGCGACAGGCAGCTTNCCTTTCTCTTCTCTTTAACCTGCTCTCTGGGGATATCAGTTTCTGATCGTATAACGGTCTCGTTGTGCAGGAGGTGCTTCACGATTTCACGCAGAAAATTTCGTGACATACCCATTCATTTAGCTTTTTTGGACTCAGAATGAATTTTGCTCCTATGTAGAATTTTGCCCTGCCTCCTTAACACTTCCCCTAAATATAACTACAGCTCTCCTGGGCTCACCACTCCTATCTGCAGTTGTTCCCAACTCTCGAGAGCGTCTTATGGTTGAACGCAATACCTGCCTTGTTTCGCTGGTTCGTCTGTAGATGCACCGTGCCAAAAGTGTTTGTAAATGCAAAGCGACGTTTAATTCACGGACTAGTTACGCTTATATTATGTTAAAAATCTACCCAAAGTTTAGTATCATTAGAAAGGTAATAACGTAAGCTACTTTGTGAAATGGAAGAAATTCAATGAATTGTTATGAACATAGAAAAAATTTGCAATGAACGTCAGCGCGCGCTGTAATCATAATTTTGGCCCACCCTGTATACTATTTATATATTTGCTACCCTTGTATATATATATACACCAACGTGTGTACCATTGTAGCTCCCTAATTAGGCCGTTTCCGATCTAATAGTGTCAGATGTGGTATATACGGGGTCCTCGAATTCATCCTGCGGAGGAATCTCAGAAACCGTTTTTACCATGAGCTGTGCCTCAAGAGGGTGGTTGTGGCATTCACTCTTGCATCTACTCATTCTTTGAGTGCAGTTAATTACGCTGCTGGGCTTATTAGTCGGATAGCTGCCGATTTCAATTTAGGTATTCACCCACCTCATCAGTTATTGAAGAAGTGATTCTAACTAAACAATACTCCTGGCCTAATGCTGTTCAGACGATCTGAACGATGATTCGCCTATGTGAGATGTCTCTGTCAACACGAATATTAGTGCGCTTAATAGGAGCCGGCGAGCGTCTCAAGAATTCTAGGGCGTTTATACATTATTAGTTGTTCTGATCATAAGGATGGGTAACTTATTCAATAGTATGCTGGCAGCATAATCACATACTGCGATCATTGAAGGTGATTTAGATCCTCAACCGAAAGTCAAAATGTGGAAATTTCAACCTTATATGAAAGCGGGATAATGAGTAGACAGTGGTAGCATATCTGTGAACATTCGGATATATTGGGTTGTCCAGAAAATAATGCGACACTAACAGCACAAATTTTACATCGTTTTTTATACAATAAAAGACAAGTTCAATCAGTGATATGGTCGCCGTTATCATCGATGACCTTCATCCATTTCAC